AGTTTTCGAAAAAAATCGATATTTTAAAGGCTATTTAAAAAAAAAATGAAAATATATAATTTTTTTTATTTAATATGATTCTTCTAATTATATAAATTAAGTAGTTTATTAGTTTTAATAGTTTAATTTGCACTGCTGAAACATATTGAAATATATCTAGAATGTCTCAACTATTAATATTTTTTGACAATACTTTTATGCAAAGGACAATGAGCTGAATTAATCGATAAAGAAAACACACAGTTGTTTATTATTCAATATTCAAAGAAAGTCAGCCGAATACATTGGATAATGCTAATGTCAATAGAATTTTACTTTAAAGCCTCAATTCGGAAGTACTTAAAAACAATTTCATTATTGTATTTTTAAAAGTTCTCTTTAAGAATATTTAATCAAGTATAAGAACATGTAATAAAAAATTTTTATAATTTTAATGTAATCTAAACAATATTTTAAAGTCATACTAACATTACTTACTATATAACACACGACTTAGAATTCTATAGCTTTCGTATGAAATATTTTTTTCGAAAATATTTCACTTTCAAGATAATCAACTGTATCACTTAAAATGAAACCCTATATATTTGCAAATTATATAAAAAAATAATATATCCATTTCTCAAGTAATTATTAGATAATTTTCTTAACTTGATCTAGTTTTACATCTTTCATGTATAGAAGCATTATGATAAGAACAGTAGGAAATAAATGCTTGAAATTTGAATAAAGCTTTTTTTTTTCCAAAAAGCTTTTGTTAATTCAATAGAAATATTTGTGTACCACTTAAAACAAATTATTGACATATCACAAAAAATCATTCTATAACGCTGTTTCTAACGCCAGGCTTTCACTCATCATTTTTAAAAGTTTGTGAGTTGTTGCCATGTTTTTATCTATTGTTAATGCCAATCATTGCGATTATTCATTATTTCGTAAACCCTTCATTTCATAAGGGCGAAACATTGACATTAGCAATGGATAAAAACATGGCAGTAATAATCTGCAAATCTTTTGAAAATCACTGATTTTTAATTTCATTTAAAAAAATTCTATAAAATTACTTTATAAAAATTATTCTGCGGTTTTTTTAATAGTACATTTGAATTTTCAGTGTGCTCCACCTTTAATTGTAGCATCTAGCATTGATGAGAAAACCTTGAAACGTGAAGGAGTATGTGCTGCGTCATTACCTACTACGATGGGTATCGTAGCAGGCTTTTTGGTGCAGAATACTTTAAAGCTTTTGCTAAAATTTGGCAAAATATCTCATTATTTAGGTTACAATGCTATGGAAGACTTCTTTCCTATTATGACTTTGCGGCCAAATCCAAATTGTGATGATGAATATTGTAAACAAAAGCAAAAAGAATATTTGGCAAAGCCAAAAATCCAACAGAATAAAATTGCTATTATTGAGAAACCTGTACATGAAGATAATGAATGGGGTATATAAAATATACGCACGCACGTACACACACACATGTATACATATACAGGGTGTTTCTATAATTTTTTGCCAACCGCTTTTGTATAGATAGAGCGGATTAAACTGAGTCGAAAAGTCCTCTATCATTTTCGCAATGAAATGAGATATTAATTATTAAAAATCGAATATTGATTTTTTTCAATAATTTTTTACTCAAATACTATCAACTTTGCAGAAAAACAATGAGAGACAAAAATTATTTATTTTCTTTTCACAAAGTTCTGAGAATTTTTTCAGAATTTTCTCAGAATTTTTTAATACTGTATTTTCTCATGTTGATAAAAATAAGAAAATGCAGTACTAAAAAGTTGATGAAAAACTCTGAAAAAATTCTTAGAGTTCTATGAGAAGAAAATGAATGATTTTTGTCTTTTACAGTTTTTCTGTAAAGTTGATAGTATTTGAGTAAAAAATTATTGTAGACCAATATTTGACAATTTTTTAATTAATATCTTATTAATTATTGAAAAAATTGGTACAGGATTTTTCGACTCAGTCCGCTCTATCTACATAAAAGCTTGGCAAAAAACTTTTAAGACACCCTGTGTATACAAGGTAGGGCATTTTAATCGCCCCAGTCAGATATCTTAGACTCATATTCAGAATGCACTTACAATGATGTCAGCACGCTAATATGCTACAATTTACATTACGCATATTATAGAATTTTAGAGATAAAAGCGCGTACGGTATATGAGTCTTATAAATTAAGAGAGATAGAAAAAAGTTTTATATAAAAGTTGTAGGTTTTCTTGGGGGAAAAGAAAGTTTTTAAATAGAAATCACTATTTCTTATTGTATATTCTTGTCGAGATATTTTCAAAACATTATAATAAGTAAAAAATATTTTTTTCATTAAGCACTTTTTAAGTTATAAAACTTGACAGTTACTGTACTGCTGACATTAGTATTATTCATATACCCTGTGGAGGTAATCTGTGTGGTGTGTGAACATGTATATACATGCGTATGTGTGGGGAAGAGAAGGGGAATCAAAAGTTATACATATCCTGTTCTTGTTTCATTATTATACTGATTATATTGATGATCAACCAGCTCCAGATTGATTAACATATTAGGTGGGAAAAAGTTCGTGGCGTTTTTCCCGTTAGATGACATTAAAAAACGCCATGAACTTTTTCCCATATCTAATACATTTTCTATGCTTACCCAGAATGAACGACATTGATATAATAGGATATTTTAGGATGCTTGATTTATGTGAATCCTTATCAATAAAGCATCTCAAACAATCGAAAAGTGTAACTTTTCCTCTCCCACACATGCACATATGCTCATATGCACACACAACAGATTAAATCTAACTGAGCAACCTCCATGTAGTACATCTTGGGTAATGCTAATGTCAGCAGTACAGTAATTGTCAAGTTTTATAACTCGAAAAGTGCTTAACCCCTTCGCTTACAAGGAAATCGGATCAAACATGAATAATCATAGAGAGCCGTGAAAATCAATCGGGCCAAACGTAAACAATGATTATGACACGCACCATTGAAACTTAAATCATAGAACAAGAGATTAATGAAAAAATATTTTGTTTTTAGTGTTTTGAAAATGTCTCGATTACAAGAATATACAATAAAAAATAAGTTTCTTAAAAAATTCATGTTGATCTTGATCTATTCTTAGTAATGCTCCATGTATAAAATCTATTATTTCTACCTTCTTTCCCCCAAGAAAATCTACAACTTTTATATAAAACTTTCTTATATCTCTCTTAGTCTTTGAGATATCTATGGGACGATTAAAATACCCCAATCTGTGTGCGTGTATCTGTGTGTAAATATGGATAGTTGCAATCTCTACTTGAAATATTTTTAAAACAATTTTTTTATTTGACCCATTAATATGTAACGATGTAACTGTAGTTACAAATCGATGGTCGATGCGAGTCTAGAGTATGGTTGTGAGTATGGTGACTTCTTCCACAACTAATTACATTTTAAAATACAAATAATGTATACAAATAATGTATACAAATAATATATACATTATAATAATAATATATACAAGTAATTGTGTG